CTCGTCTTTGCTGAGCTGAGTAAAGAATTAAGTTGCCTCGTCATACTTAGCGGCGTCCACGTACAGCAAGTGCGCGGCAGCTCTGACTCCACCGACAGACATCTTCATGTGATGTATCCGGCTCCTGGAAAACATGTTGCCTGCAGCTGCGACTCGGCTACAAATACGAGATAAGCGAAACACCGAAACTGAGATTGCTTGCGCTACTGCCTGGAACGAGTTCTCGACTCTGCCGTTTTCTCTAGGTGTGTTCTCGTCGACCTTCCATACATCTTCGTCGCGATATTCGGCCCATCCAATATGAGTGGACGTTCCATGCATTCCGATGTGGCTGCTGACGATGGCAAGTCAGACGCAGAGCGGGTGTCGCATCATTTCTTCGTTCTGAAAGCATTGGATTTCATGAGCCGATACGTCGGTGAAACTGCACGCCCCCTGACTCTATGTATCTTTTCCTCGATTATTGTGTACGGCCACGAGAAATAGGATGGTTTTCAGCAACGCCCACATTCGCGGCAGGCTTTTCCGATATCAACAAGCCTCTGCGCGGCCCCCATCACCCACGCGAGGCGTCAGCTCCTCGCCCTGCGCCGCTGTCTGGTGCCTCGCTCCCGCCTTGAACTGCGAATCGCACAATAGGGGCAAAAACTTTTTCGAGCTCCCTCCCCATCATGAGCAGGGGCACCTGCCCTTCGCATAGGCGTCAACTCCATGCAAACAGCATCGAACGAACACCGCTCAAGTAGCTCAAGCACGGCACCAGCATGAGGTTCTAAGCCAAAAGCAGCTGTGGAGGAGGCGGCAGGCAAGGATCGGCGGTGGGGAGATATATTGTAGGAAGGAGGGCCCCAGATTTCAGACGTCGACCTAAGCGCATGCCAATGCATTCTCCCTACACTGCATATGCATACGCTGGCCTAGGGACATGCCCAAACAGTGCTAACATGCATGAGTGCAATAGAAGCCTGCGTGCTGACACCATCACTGTTTGCAAGAATGTCATAATGGCTCCTGGCGCGGGGCACGTTGTCTCAACACCTACGAAGAAGTACAGCCCGTACGTGCGCATTGGCAGCTTGTTCGAATGATGCAGGCCTGCCAGACATCGAAATCGTGCACGTCCGTCTGGGGGCATTACATGGATCACGTCCTGATGTGATATGTGTCGCGCTGTTGTTTACGGTGGGGGGGGTCATTGAACCGCATACGTGGGGAAAGTGGCTAGGAATGGTTCTTTCCCACTGTCCATACACGGGCTCTCGGAATCCGCAACAGATGACTGCCTACGATATGTGCGAGTCAGACACAGCGTGGCAGCCCATCATAAAGATCGAGGATGCCTCTTCGAGAAAGCACCGTCGAACTCGGTGAAGCGAGCGCCCCGCTTCCGAAAAGACCCGCACACCTGGCAGGACTGCACAATTCAGACGAAACCAATCGTAGATGAAATGGGTTGCACCATGAGGCGACGAAAGAAAACGAAACCAACATTCTGGCTGTCCTAAACCATGGTTGCTATATGTGTTTCCCAAACGAGCACCTGAGGAGAGGATCATGCGGAGGGTGTTCATTGGGGCCGCTGCAAAGGTCGCGCAAGTCCGAAAACTACAGTCATGATCGTCCCTCCTCCTCCTCCTCCTCATCCTCCTCCTCTTCCTCCTGCTCCTCTTCCTCCTCCTCATATTACTCCTCCTCCTCCTATTCCTCCTCCTCCTGTGCCTGTTCCTCCTCCTTCTCCTCCTCCTCCTCCTCCTCCCCCCCCCCCCTCCTCATCCCGCTCCTCCTCCTCATCATGTTCATGTTCCGCCTCCCCCTCCGCCTCGTCCTCCTCTTCCTCCTCCTCCTCTTCCTCATCCTCCTCCTCCTCATATTACTCCTCTCCTCCTCCTCCTCCTCCTCCTCTCCTCCTCCTCCTGTGCCTGTTCCTCCTCCTTCTCCTCCCCCTCCTCCTCCCCCCCCATCCTCCTGCTCCTCTTCATCATGTTCATGTTCCTCCTCCCCCTCCTCCTCGTCCTCCTCCTAATCCTCCTCCTGCGCATCCTGCTCCTCCTCCTCCTCCTCCTCCTCCTCCTCCTCATCCTCTCCTCCTCCTTTCCTCCTATTCCTACTCCTCCCCCCCTCCCCTCGTCCTCATCATCCTGATCCTCCTGTTCCTCCTCCCCCTCCCCCTCCTCATCCTCCTCCTCGTCATCCTCGTCCTCCTCCTCCTCCTCCCTCCTCCCTCCTCCTCCTCATCCTCCTCCTCCTCCTCCTCCTCCTCCTCCTCCTCCTCCTCCTCCTCCTCCTCCTCGTCATCGTCATCCTCATCCTCATCCTCATCCTCATCCTCACCCTCATCCTCATCCTCATCCGCATCCTCATCCTCATCCTAATCCTCGTCCTCATCCTGATCATCATCATCATCATCATCATCATCATCATCATCATCATCATCATCATCATCATCATCATCATCATCATCATCATCATCATCATCATCATCATCATCATCATCATCATCATCATCATCACATCATCATCATCATCATCACATCATCATCATCATCATCATCATCATCATCATCATCAATCATCATCATCATCATCATCATCATCATCAGCATCATCATCATCATCATCATCATCATCATCATCATCATCATCATCATCATCATCATCATCATCATCATCATCATCATCATCATCATCATAATCATCATCATCATCATCCTCATCATCAGCCTCCTCATCATCATCATCATCATCATCATCATCATCATCATCATCATCATCATCATCCTCATCATCACCACCATCATCATCATCATCATCATCATCATCATCATCATCTTCATCAGCATCATCATCAGCATCATCATCATCAGCAGCATCAGCATCATCCGCATCATCATCATCATCAGCATCATCAGCATCATAATCAGCATCAGCATCATCAGCATCGTCATCATCATCATCATCATCAACAGCAGCATCATCAGGATCGGCGTCAGCATCAGCATCAGCATCATAATCGTCATCAGCATCAGCATCATCGTCATCATCATCAGCATAATCATCAGCATCATCATCATCATCAGCAGCAGCGACCTCATCGTCATCGTCATCAACATCATCATCATCATCCGCATCGGCATCAGCATCAGCATCATCAGCATCCGTAGCATCATCATCAGCATCATCATCAGCATCATCATCAGCATCGTCATCATCATCAGCATGAGCATCAATATCATTATCAGCATCATCATCATCATCATCAGCATCATCATCATCATCCGCAGCAGCAGCAGCAGCATCATCATCAGCAGCAGCATCATCCATTTCCTCATTATGCTGATCGTGTTCCTGCTCCTGGCCCTCCTCCGCTACGATGCACTCCTGCTCATCTACCTCCTCGCCCTGAAGCCTCGAAGGTTCGCAAGTCCTCGGGTTCAACCCTGAACTCCCCAGTCGACCCTCGAATGAACTGCCACTGATAGGAGCCCAGCCGTTCGAATACTGCGACCGCCCGTGAAAGTCTGATAGCTTCCCTGTCGAAGCTAGCTGCTATCATAAACTCCATCGCGCCTGCCATGGATCAAATGCGAGGTGCCTGCCCAGAAACCAAGACTGGACAAACCCCGAGTACTGAACGGTTAACCTTTCTAGGATGTCGTGCGTGCAACCATTGACCTCCAGATCTGTAAATACAACAAAGACAACGCGGTCACTCACTTCGTCAATCGATATCAGCGAGATGTTTGATTTTCCCCGTCATAACCACCACCGCTGGCGCCCCCATTCGTATTACAACTTGGCCGTTGATCGTTATTGGCCCTGCCGCCTCACCACTGCTCTTCTGAAGCTCCCGAGTAAGCAAGAGGACAGAAAACGGTTCGCTTTTCAAACATGATAGCCCTTCTCGAAAAGACTCCGAGTCTGACCCTGCGCCCCCAAGTCACGATGAAAAGCGGCAGTCTTCGTCTCGTACCCCCTCCTCCCGCACCAGGCACGATGCAAGCTTGGGCGGTTTGGGCGCATGTTCCAAAGAAAGATTTCCTTGCACGCGTTCCTTACCAAAGATTTCTCACTGAAGATTCAGTGTTCAAGATCTTTCGAATCAGGATCCGTTACGACTGATTTCCCATTCAGGATCTCTTATAAAAAAAACATATGCAGAACTCCATATGAAAGTGTCCTTATGATGGAGGCTCTAAAAAAGACCCGTACTCCGAATTCCCTAGCCAGGAGTGGCTATCAAGGAATCAGAATTGAAGACTCCCGAACAAGGAGCCCTGCCTATGGATTCCCGCGAAGGGTTTCCTTATTACGGGCACATTACTAACGACCCACTAGTAAGGAAACGTTACTCCGAGGATGCATTACGTATACTGCCTTACTGAGAACCCTTTTTAACCAGGATTTTCCGAAATCAAAGCTGTGTGTTTTGGGAGGTGTTTGGTGGTTTGGGGGGTCTGAGGGGTTTGGGGGGTTTGGGGGGTTGTTCGATTTTGAGCGTTTCCATCGTGTTTCGCATTTTCGTAGACTTGTCGTAGACGTTCGAATGCGCTCGAGAAGGAGAGGGAGGAGGAGTAGGAGGAGGAGGACGAGGAGGAGGATGAGGACGAGGAGGAGGCAGCGGAGAGAAAGGAGGAAAAACGTCAAAACCGCCTAGGCCTGTATCGTGCCTGGCGCCCCTCCTGCTCCTCCTCCTCCTCCTCCTCCTCCTCCTCCTCCTCCTTTCCTCCTCCTCCTCCTTTCCTCCTCCTTTCCTCCTCCTCCTTTCCTCCTCCTCCTCTTCCTCCTCCTCCTCCTTCTCCTGCTCTTCCTCCTTCTCCTTTTCCCTGCTCCTCTGACTGTCTCCTCTTTTTCTGCCCAGTGTCTGCCAACCTATCCTACCGCGGAGAAATTACGTTAGTGATGCCAAGATGAGAACAAGAAACGGATCGTCCGTCACTGCTGTAAGTACACTCGTCCTCAGTCTCGCCACACATCCCTCACTAGCCCTTCCCATTCGGCTCCGGCGTCACATCGCCACTCTTCTCGGAGCGCAACGCGGACGGACGAGCATCAGCACCTGGCTGGAAGAGCCCTGCCCAAACTGCGCTGTCATAAGCATGGTCGCCACTGTTGTCGTCATCCTCAACACTACCGCAACCACCACCACCACAATCATCGTCATCACCATCATCATCGTCCTCCTCCACCTCCTCCTCATCCTCATCATCGCCATCACTACCACCACCACCATCATCATCAGCAGCAGCAGCATCAGCACCATCATCATCAGCACCATCAGCAGCATCATCAGCATCATCAGCAGCATCATCACCAGCATCATCATCATCATCATCCTCGTCCTCATCCTCATCCCCATCCCCATCTTCATCCTCACCCTCTCTAACACTATCACCATCACCCCTATCTTCATCACCATCACCATCATCATCACCCTCATCAACGTCATGGTCATCATCATCACTTCCGCCAGTACCGTCCACGCCGCCATATTTCCACACCCACACACTTTTTACGTCGGAGGCTAGGCAAAGTGACTGCGCTGGCGGATAGGGCAAATCTAGGGCATACAACTGCTGATTAGGCTGCGATGCGCGTGACCCACACACACACACACACACACACACACACAACCCCAAGAGGGAAACTGACAGATGCGATCGGAGCGAAATGAACTCAACGATGTGTCCGTAGCGACCCAAAGCCCTATTTCGTTTCTCGGAGTCGTCCCTCTCGACTAGATGGTCACCTGGCTCGCCCAGTAGAGCCTGCCAGCGCCGACCCAAAAACTTTGCCCTGGTCTTCGAACACTCGGTTTCCTGCTGCGCTCTGGCCTTCGATGGCCGCCAGGCGGATTCTGCCTGCGCGCCAGGCCTGGAGCAAACGCCTCTCCGCCACAGCGCGTCGGTGAAAGCTCGGGCCTTCTCGGTGCTTGCAGGGGTATCGAACGGCGCCTCGGCGAACGGAACGAAACCCTCGCGAAGCACGGCTCAGGCGACCTGTTTTGGCAGAAAGTTCGGGCGACTTTCAAGGTCTTTTTTGGAAAGCGCCTGGAAAGGTCAGTATCGACGACGACGCGTGGCTCACGACGCCCCTTCGGCATTCGATAAACGGATTTGACGAGCCCGACGAGCTCGTCCGCCTCGACGCTCCTTTCCCTCAGGGCACCTACTCTCTCATGCTCCTGATCACAATCACATTGCTGCTGCTTCTGTTGCTGCTGCTGCTGCTGCTGTTGCTGCTGGTGCTGCTGCTGCTGCTGCTGTTGCTGCTGCCCTCCATCCTACCCTCCCTGCTCTCCTGGCGAGGGCAACGAACGCCGGGGAGCACTGCGGAGGAGAAGAAACGTTCCCAAAGGCCCGTGGAGGCCCAACGAAGCCTAAAACACTTCAAAGACGTCTTTCGGCGGCGCGCCGGGACGGGAAGTGAAAACGGGTAGGCCATCTCAGAAGACGACGGGGGGTGTCAGCAGCCCCCTGCCTTCTGATAAGCCGCCCGCAGTTTCTGAGAAACCTTGGAAAGTTTATCAGAAGAGCGAACGACTTCTGAGCCTTCCGAAACAATCCCGCCCGCGCCGACGAGTCTTTGAGCCTCGATAATTGATCCGTCCTTCGATGATCCTCAGAACGCGATAAGCGCCAACGTACATATGCCCGACGAGGCCATTCAATACAACGCAGGTCGTTAATGAGAGCGCAGTTAGGCTGCCAATTACATAACATCGATGCAACTGCACGGGGTAAACACACATTCCCCGAACCCTTACATGCACGCCCACAAACCCTAAAAAAAACAGCCACAACCAGCCGACGGCTTTGCCGACAGGCATCGTTTTACACATAGCAACTCAGTTGCACGATCAACAACCTAATTGATACTTTCGTCCATCTGAGGACCACTTTGACACAGCATGAACGTCCCTGAAGAAGACAGTATCGCCGAGACTCGGCCTGCCCATGATGTCGTCCATTCGGGCACTCTGGCACCATGTCACGGGTGAGAACGTCAAAGAAAAAGAAATGTCACTCCAGCGCATCAACTGCACCGCCCAGACGCAACGAACATGTCACGAATGCCGACTCGACGGTTGCAAAAGCGGCCAAGGTGGTAGGACAGGAGCGCATCTAAAAAGTGCTGGCTGTAGCGACTCATCCGACTCATCTGGCTACTGTCGAACTTCGCATTCTGTTTCAGCAGTTTGGCATGACGCTCATACCTGGCCACGCTCTTCCTGACAGCCAAGCAGCCGCGCTTCGGCACCTTTTCCAGCGCACGACGTTCGTGCTAGATGTCAAGAGAAGGAGCAGCGTGGCGAACAGCGCGGGGCGCCACGCTCAACCCTGTGTACCCTGACGCCTTGGCAGCCGCCTTGAAGTCCCTCTCGTACTGGGCCAAAATGAGCTCGCGGCAGAGCAGCGTCTCGGGGTCGGTGCTGCCTCTCTGGTTGGCAGCGCAAGCCTTGGAAGCCCGATCCACCAGGGCAGCAGTCACCCTCGTGGCCCACGGCCGCGAGAGCCCACCGAGCACCACCGAGTCCTACTTGGCCTGTCTCGGCGACAAACCCGAGCCCAGCCGGGGCGAAGTCGACGCCTCAATTACGCGAGGCCGAGTCTCGCACGCCAGCGCAGGGGGCCAACAGATGCCCGGCGCGAGATCGACGCCATCCGATGGGCGCCCGTAGCCGCCCAGCTGCAAGGCAAGACGCGCCGCGCTCTCACCGCGGACGAGATCCGCCGTCGAGGCGCCATGCCAAGGATGGCCTCCCGGGGCGCGGGGCCCTCCACGGCCGCCCGAGCCCCTCTGGCCCCACCTGCGAGGGCGCGCTCGACGCCGCAGGGACACCCACGCAAGAGGTGCCCGACGTGGACGGCGCGGCCGACGCTCGGTCGATATGCCCTGGCACGTGCTGAAGAAAAACTCCCCCCTGGTCGTCGCGAGCGGGCGCGCCTCCGCGGAGCGACCCCGGACTGCGGCCAAGCCGCGGGAGCGCCCAAGCTCGCGACGGCAGACGCCCTCCAACTTCCCCCCTGCCGCGCTCTCCCAGGGCAGCTGATACCGAAGGGGCCGCGACTCTAGCGGCCGCCGCCCGGCGTCGGAAGGGCCCTCTGCGCCGAAGGACCAGATCAGACGGCGCCGCCTGGACAGCAGCCCGCGCCTGCGGGCGCAGCCCCCCCCCGCGCGCGAGATCGTCAATCGCGGCTGCGGTCACTCTTCGCAACTTCTCCCCAGGCGGCCCCGCGCCGCCGCTTCCCGACAAGTGCGCCAGCGGCCTCACCCCACTGGTCAACGAAGGCCGGAGGCAGACCGCTCGCGAACAAAAACCACACGCAAGAAACATCGAGGCCCATCTCGAGCATAGCGACATCGGATATGAACCTGCTGCCTTTGCTATAGACTGTGACCGCCAGACTCCATCAGCTCAGGACACACCCTCCTGCCCCTCGACAACTCGATGTACACGACCCCAAGAGCATCTAGCTTCAACGCCCCGCAGGGCCGACACGTTCGCGAGGGGGGTCGTGGGATTCCAACGCGGGACTCCGCACGGACACATGTGGACAGTGCCCTGGAAGACCTCGGGAGGCCCCGAGGTCCACGACGGGCCCGAGCTCCAAGACACCGAAAGACGCGGGACCCCCCATGCCCGAGAGGGGCCCACATCGCGCCGCCAGCGAGTAAGCCTGAACGGTGAAAAGCCCAGCTCCACTGCGATGGCCCCTTAGCGCGCCCCCAAATCAGACGCCACTCGTCTCGCGACGGATCAGATCGCACACGGGGCATCCAGGTGGACGCACCAGAGAATGTCCGAGAGGATTCACGACTTGACGAGACTCTGCATGCTTTTCCTGGCGAAGTCGAACCACGCTCCACGCTGCAGCTCGATCGGGGCCAGCCCGCAGACCGCGGGGTCGAAAGGCTCGGGCGAGACCCGCCTCGCCAGCAAAGAGCTCGAAGGCCAGGGTCTCGGCCGCTGGAGACGGACCTCGGCAGGCCCCCCACCCATCCGAGCGCGCGCACCGTGGACGGGACGCTTCTGAACCGGATGCCTCTCGAATGATTTGCCTCGAGAACGCGGTCGCTCCCCCGACCACGCGCAGCCGCGAGCTGGCGGCCGCAGCACTGCGCTTGCTCCCAGCGTGCCTGGAGCGCCAACAGGTGCGAGCGGCAATCTGGCAGCAGGCCGCCCATCTCTCCAGCGCGCCGAGGGCCCACGACTTCGCGCGGCCCATCTCGAAAACACATATGGAAACAAGGTGGCACGCGATGGACGCCACCCGCGCGCCACGATCGCGGCGGCCCCGGGCCAGCGACCCACCCGCGGACGCCTCCAGCGGCGAGGGTCATCCACGCGGTGGCCGATGAGTGGGACCGCACTGGGGACCTCGACATCCTCTCACACTGGCCTTGCCCGCGGTGGAATCGACTGCCCGCCCGCGCGCGGCTGGCCGGGTGCCCAGGCGGGGGCGGCCTCCTCCAAGCATTGCCCACGCTGCGTCTGCGGGCCAAGGCAAAGGGCCACGACCCTCGCACAGCAACATCAGCATAAGCGCCCCAGAAATTTGAACTCTCCGCCATGCGCGGGACGGCCCACGACGCACTCGGCCCACCCCGGCCGCGCAAGCCCCTGCGACGGCATCAACAAGCTGGAATCTCCACCTCTCTGGATATCGGGCGAGCCCACGGATCTCGGGGACGGAGGCCGCCGTCGACAGGAGTGCGGAGCCGACGCCCGAGGAGACGGAGCAGCTGACCTCGCGACCGGGGGCGGCCCCCAGATCGAACCCGCCAAACAAGAGGGGGCACAGGACCAGCCACATCTCGACATTGGCAGCACGCATGAGTCGCCGCACGCGCTGGCAGCGCGCAGCCGCCACGCACGCCCTCCTGCAAGCAGGACTGCGCTGGCCCCGCAAGCTCGTCGAAGAGGCCCGCGTCACGGCCCAGACAGGTCCCCGGCACATCGCGGGGACCCCAGCGCCTCCGCGCAAGGCCCCGCGTCGCCAGGTAGATCCGCCAAACGCGCCGCGGGACGCGTCGCGAACACCGCCGATTGACGTC